CAGGAATTAAGCTACTATATAAAAGTCACGTACATCCCATGCAGTTTTTTCCAGAAGCAAGTTTTCAAAGGCTTATAATAAAAAAAAGAAAAAGAAAAAAATTGTTGACCAGTACTAAATACAACCTCTACATAAAATGGCAGTTACTATAATAAGCACCACCCACATTCATATTGTAAAATCCAGAGAACAATGAATTGTCAAACATGAAATACAGCAATTAGAATAACATGGTACTGAAATTGACACGTTTGACTAGGATTGACTAAAAGTTTTACAACTGAGGTTTAACATGCCCAGACGCCATTGTATAAAGAAAATGGATAGAAAAAAGTTTAGATACCAATCATAGATGGCAAGACCAGTGCTAAAGTGCAAGGAAAAAATTTTAAAAAAATGTTGAAAGAATTTTTCTTCTTACAGAGCACTTATTTACAGTCTCAACTGTATTTTGGGATTTTTTTTATTAAATTTATCTTCAAACTTCATTAAATAATACAATTTTGTACAAATACTTGAATGTTATGCTACTGCTTACAAAAATAAAATTTGAAATCCAATAAAAGATAAGTTCTTTATAATTTTTTCAATCCACAAATGTGATTTTGCCCTCACAATAATACAAAATGGCCCAGGAAAGTAAGGGGTTAAAAGGTTATTCGCTTAAAAATCTTTTGGTAATTAACTAATAAAGTGATCAATCAATTTAAATAACATGTTTTTACATTGCAGAAACTAAATATGCACCTGAAAAAGTGTTGAAATTTAGTTTAGATGAACTTCCCTAGATGGCAAGGAATGATAATCATCAGATGTTGCTCAATTATAAAGAGCAACAATAAAGAGTTTTAAAGTTAAATTTAATTGTTGGCTTGAAGATGAGCCTGAAACAGAGAAGGGAGCGTGATGTGCAGGCACATGTTTTCTACCTGCTTTAGTGATATAGGAAGTTTAAACATTTTTTTGTTTATTAAGTTTGTATGTGGTTCTTTTGTTAGCACATAGTTTAGAAACTCTTTGAGATTGTCTTATTCAAGTTGATATTTTCTTTGTTCTCTGTAATAGATAATGCATATTCTGCCCAAAAGGATATTGCAGTGACATCAGCATCCAAGTTCAAAGGATTAGCACTATAATATCCTTTCCTGGCCAAGTTGACTTTAATCTAAATAATCCTATGAGAGAACGAAACTCATAAGGTGATGCTGTTGACTGGACAAAGAAACCAAACTTACCTGTTGAATTCAGGTGTGCTTTCTTGAGCCAGTTTTTCTAAGAGACCATCAAGTAAAGACTTGCATCAAGATCATGTTTAGTTATACAAAGATTAATCCTACGGGAAAGGAAAATGTGGGACTAAGCACAGCCTAATAGATGTGACTGTCTTTTTGAGTCCATAAAGTTTTATTTTTTTTGTTAAACAATAAAAATTGTTTTAATTTTTACCCAGTCTCATTATTTCACACACATTAGGAAGATTTAGTTAAGTTATTCGATTCAGAAAATTTCTCCTTATTTCCTAAATGAATTGCTAGTTATTAGCAGTTCCTTCTATCTGTTACTTTTGGAAAATTAACCTGAATACTCATTTTTCTTATATTACTGTAGTACATTATTTTACTTTTTAGGAATGGCACAAGCATGATATCCCTTATCATACCTCCTAAGGACCAAATTTCAAGAGTCTCAAAAATGTTAGCTGATGAATTTGGAACAGCTTCTAATATTAAAAGTCGAGTGAATCGGTTGTCAGTGCTTGGTGCCATCACATCAGTACAACAGAGATTAAAGCTCTATAATAAAGGTAATGAAGTTTTAGAAATTATAAACAATTTTTAGAAAAGGTAAAAATATCTTTGCTTTCAAATTAATGCTTTTTTTTTAATTCCTTTTATATCATTTTGTTGTAAAATTGCTTATAGTCTTAGCTGACATGTATAAATTACACCCCTATAACTAGGTACATTTACTTTCAAGTTACTGGGTTATTCCTTGGTTTTTATATTTTTTTTTCAATATCAATTTTGTTTTGCCATCTTCTGTTTTTCTGAGCCACAGATTTTTAAGTCAATTTCATCTGCTGACAAATTTCAAAATTCAAGAAAAATTGAAATTCTAGCAACTTCAATAATTTTTAAATAAAAAATATTTCAGAATCAATATATTTTTTTCATTTTGTAACATATATATATATATAATGTTATACATGAAGGAAAATGTTGAAATTCACATTTCTGCAAAGTCTGTGAGGGGGGGGGGGTCATTTGTAAACAGTACACTTGTCACTGGATTATACTTAAGCATTGTCTAACTGCTCTTAACTATTGATAAGTCTGGAACATTTATTGTCGTAAATGAGATGTTTGTTTCAGTAATGGTGTTTTGTGATTTTTTTAAGATATTTAAAGAACATTACTGAATTTTCAAACAAAAGCTAGAGCTAAGTGTTACTGCTGATACTGAAAAATAAACAATTATTTTAAAGTTTTATTTTTAATTACATAAATGTATTCTGTCAGATTCCAAACAACAAGTTAAAATAAAAAAAAATTAATTGAAACATATTAAAACTAAAAATTATTTAGGGGAGAAACTAAAAATGTTAAATTGTACAGCAACTGTTGGGTAGTTTTTTTAGTCAAATGCATTTTTTCTTGATCTTTATATACATGTTTTAGATATACATCTCTAATGAAAGCTTATAGAAGTATGTTTCAATTGTAGTTCCTCCTAATGGTCTTGTAATATACTGTGGGACAATTGTTACAGAAGAAGGCAAAGAAAAAAAAGTCAATATTGATTTTGAACCATTCAAACCCATTAACACGTCCTTGTACCTTTGTGACAACAAGTTTCACACAGAGGTGAGATTTTTGAAGGAAACTTATTTAAGGACCTTAATTTGTTTCAGAATTTTTACCTTTTTGTGTAGTAACCTTTAACTCAATAGTCTTTATTTTTATTGGATAATCAGTTGTGGCAATTTGGGTATGTTCTATTTCATTGTTTCAATCAGACAATGTTGCACAGTTAGCTATGGTAGTTAGTAGAGCTATAAGTGTTTTGGCCAGTTGCTGAATATCTGGCCAGATTCTTTGGGTGCATAACCAGATGTTCGTCTCCTGAATAATTTATATAATTATTTGTAATATTGCACAAATTTGAAAAGTGCTTGAATTTGGGTGAATGTCTTAAAGTGCTTGAATTTGAGTTCATTCACAAAACATACTTAAAAAGGTATTTTAAAAGATGTAGCAGTTCTTAGAAAGAATGTCAATTTCAGAAAGAAGTATTTTGTCAGAAAACATTTGCAAAAAAGAAAAAATATCAATAAAAATATAAACAAAAAAATGTTTGCTTGAACATTACTTCTGATTGAGTCATATATGTATTCACAACTACTACTGCTTGCTTGCAGTTTGGACTGCCATGTGATGACTTTATGAGTGGGAGCTATGTTTATTCTCTCAACATGGGCTTTGTCAATTTGATTGACCACATGACTTCTTTGTAGTCATTTAAAGTCTTTATAGTTTTGATACTACTAACTTTTAATATAGTATGTATATCTTCACAAAATTTGGCAGACTTTCAGTAAACATTGAGCCTTTCACATACAAAAATTGTATTTTTTAGTGAAGTATTTTTAATAAACTAAAAGATTTGTCTGTGAGTATATAGAGTATCTTTTTTACTAATCCGAGTACAAAGTGATTTTCATGTTAAAATTAAAATAACTTTTCTTCATCTCAAAAATCTCAGATTTGTTTTCAATAAAACTTTATATTTCATCTGTTATTTTCTCTACCCTAACAAGGTTGGTAAATTTGACTGACTATAACCATAAAAAAAAAATCAAAATAAATCTAAATGACCCTTTTTTCTTTCTAGAAAGACTTCAAATTGTAACATGAAACTACATTTGTTTATCCTTAGTAGCTTTAAACTTGTAACATCATACATCTATTTATACTTACATTTTATTATTTTATTGCCCTTGGAACTGTGTCTAACTACTATTCATGCCATTATAAGTTGTAAATCACTTGAGCAATGTGGAGCTCATATTACACTATCGAATTGCATTACCCATGAGCTGCTTGTTAGCCTCGTGAAACATTTTTATTATATTATTATTTATTTACCTAATCTAACCTTAACTAACTTAAAGAGATCCCTATTTTTACATTTTAGTTACTTTTATAATAATGAATAAAAAATAAACATGAAAAACAAGAAATAAAGTACATGCCCGGGTCGTCTTCTTTTTTGCCGTTGACTGTTGATGACACTTAACCCTACTTTATTTTATACTAATGGTAGTAATGCAATAAATAATTTTTTATTTAATTAAATAATATACCAAAAACATAGAATAATAACATGCAAAAAGCAGACAATTTCCATTAACTATCACAATTTTTCTGGCTTTTGAACTATGGGACAAGAGCTGTTACAAATTCATCCAAGTTAGTCGTCATCTTTCCTCTGGGAACGAAGCTTGTACTAACAGAGAAATTAACAATTCTCTGTTCAGAAAACAATGTAATATAATACATCATTTGATAGATGAAAACCTTGGGTTTCTATTGGTTATACATAATCTAGAATTAAATGTAAGGGACAACTATTAACAAATCCTGAAAGAGAGGGGTGTGATTTTTCTATTTGATGGCTCTGTAACCAAAGTTGAAAGTTATAAAAATTATGGTTTGTCTGAGCAATGATGATTTTATAGTGAGTAATTTACTTTCAATTTCATACTTATTGGAGAGGTGGTGAATAAAATAGAGAAATGGGGAATGCCTAGAGAAAATGTCATTTCTCACACTAGGGGAAATTTGGGATTTTTTAAATATTGCCTTATAAAATTAAGAACTTAAAAACTTGTATACTATTAAAATATGGATTAATAGCTACAATTTTAGGCTATACTAATTGGTATAACATAAACAAAAAGTAGTTTAATAACATTTTAAATGTCACTAAAACATCATGATATGCACAGTAAATGATGCCCTGGAAGAGATGGTTAATTGAGTCTGATAGGTGAAATATAATAAGAAACGTCTGGGAAATATGGGTAAAGGAGATGAATGGTAAGCATAGAGCCCTGTGTTGCATGCACTGTAAATAATTTGACATTGGAACAGAGGAGGAAAAGTGCTTCAAAGTCCTATAATAAAAAACACAAAAAGAATAAAATGTTGACACCAGGAAAGAATGTGGTATTTCAGCATATAAAGAAAACTGTACCTACATCTGGTTTCACTGCCTTCTAGTTACACGAGGAATATTTCAGATATTGTGTCAACAATGTACTTAACTGTTAAATTTCTGGATTCTACTCACTGTAGTTACACATTCTTTTAAATCTAATGAAAACATTGGTGAATTATTTAATGACAGTACCATAAGTGCTAAGTTTTCTTGTATGAAGAGAAAAATATCGTGTGCCTTTGGTATTCCAGAGCACTTCAAAAGTCTGCCTTTTTTGAAAATTAATGGCATTTTCGTGGTTCTCTTTGATTATATAACTCAAATGCAGGAAAAGTAAATGGACATTCATGTAAGATAGTGGGACAGTTTCTAGGTAATTTATTTTTCATGAGTTGGAACCTACATTTTATGGGTAGTAGTGAAATGAAATAATAAGCTTAAATTGCATCAAAGTATTGCAAGTTTCTTTTGTGGTACTTTAACACCTAGTCTGTGAGCCAGGTAGATATTCTTGGTGGGTTGATTTCCAAACAAAGCTTTTTAGTACTCTTTGAGAATAAAAAAATTAATAGACATTTGAACTCCTTCCTTGTAATAACTGGAATCTGGATTGCCCACCAGCATGACTGAATTCACAGTAATTTCCAGGCTATCTGGAAGTAAAACCTATATCCCATTCTAAAATTCTGAACAAAACATGGTAGTGGGTACACATGTTGGTCAATACAAGATCTGATTCCTCAGCAATACAAAGCTATTTTCTCCATGGTTTTGTGAGTTCTGTCAAAAGAGATGGTTGAGAAAGGCTCAATGAGGCTTACTTGCTAGAAACTTGCTACTTTGTCATTTGCATTTAGTGTCTGAAATGGATGAGTAAAAAACCTTGCTATATTGGTTGTTGAGAATCTATAACAGAACACTGAATCATTACTACATTTTATTTTCTTATCTGTTTGTCTTCTTTACTCTTTCTGAATGTCTCTTTATAATCTGTATTCATACCTTAATGTACAGAAGTAAACAGCACAGCTTGCATCACGATGAATTTGCTGTTTGTCCCACAAAAAATGTCCCTCTGCTGGATGTTAAATATGATAAGTATTGTGTTTTGACTGGCATGTTATTTACATTGATAATCTGCAAAATTTAATAGCCTTTTGGTATTACCAGCTTCAATGGCTTATAATTTGGGTATGTTATGAATGGCCTATTTGAAAACTGCATCTTGTTTTTGAAATTTTTGAAATTCTAAGACAGTGGAGGCATTGTACACTGCAAATTTGCTAAAGCACAAGATGAAAAATGTTGCAAAAATATTAATTTTTAGACCACAGTATTATATGCAAACCAGCGACTATCATATAAGACCAATAACAGTAGTGCAATTTTAATTGCTATATTGATGCCGTTACCACAACACGTACAAACATGTGTTTTATTTCTATTTTCAAGCCAGTCATAACCAGGCACTCCCATAACAATACCTATTGTTGCTGAGCTTATGTTCTTATTTAATAACTATTGATGGTTGTGTTATGATATTTTTGAACCATATACTGTTACACTGACAGATCCCTAGATAATTCTAAGTTTTGATGTGTGTTCTAAATTACTTGTGGCAAATATAGCACTTTGCCAATTAAGCCTGCAACCCGTCTCCATATTGGCTTCCAATACCGACCCAATCTAAAGAATTTCCCAGTGTTTTTAAGATCAGATCAGTAAATTTCTTTACACGATGGAGAGAACACAATGTATCCCAAAATGAGGTCAATCATGGAGAAGTGAAAAGAAATATTAGTGACTGTTAGTTCAGATCATGTTCTGATTAGCAAAATAAATACATTGTCTACTGTATGATACTTACTGTAATGTAATTATGCTAGACCACAGGCAGGTTCCAAGTAGACTTGTACGTGTCTTTTTTTTTCTTCTCTCTTTTGGGGTGGAAGAAATATCGGGCTCATGTGCCTGCTTGCACGTGGTTTTACACAGAAGCTTCCAGACATTGAGCAGGAAGTAAGTTAAATGCATATAGTGAACAGAAGGAGGTGAGAGAGAGAGAGAAATGAAACTCGTCAACATATGTTAAAAGTTGTTTTTTGATACTTGGATTTGTTATTCTTGCCGTATTTTGTGCAATTTTTTTGTACATCTGAAAAATACAGTAAGTCAATTTCAGCAAAGGAATAATGTGTTCCTAGGTATAATTTTTTTCAGTGAGTTTCATTGCCATTTTGTGTGAATGAATCAAGTGGTAGCTCCCTGATGATTCATCAACATCCAGACATGCAGAACACACAAATTCAAAATCCAATCCAAATATCAGCTGATACTGAGCGCATGACATCAATCTGATCTACTGATCCTATATTTCACTCAGGTCACAGGCTTAGTGCCAATAATCAGGTTGAAAAATTTCTAATATTTTTGATATTATCTCTTCTTTTAACAATTTCTTTATCAGCACAGGTGTAGCTAGCATTAATGGCATAAGTATAATTACTACAATAAAATGATAAATGCATCTTAACTATTGTGGCTAATTGAAATTGGAATAAGTTAACCATATGGCTAAGATCAATTTGCCAATAGTATTGTAACTGTTGATTTCATAATAGTTAGTAAAGAGATCATTCTTCTCTAGCAAGTTCAAAATTAATGGCTATATAAAATGATTTAAATATGCCTCAAAAGAAACTTGTACAAGATGCAAAAAAATGATGGAATTTAACAAACTATCTATTTGAAAGTATTAGGACGAAAGAGAGCAATATTTTTCTATGTCTGGCAACATCATTAACATAATTCATAATCATTGGTCCCTATTGGAGGCGGGTTTAAAATTTCTACAGCCATTTGAAATTATCATAAACATTTCTTTCATACTCAACAATTTCAGAAGTTACGAAGCTATGGGTATTCATCATTTCACTGTCTGTTGAAGAATAACACAAACTGGAAACAATAAAATCACCCTTGAGAGAAGGACTTGTTAACTATATACTTTGTTTGGTCATTTTTCAGAGAACTACAAAACAGTGAAATAGTTTAATGGAAAAACCAGAATACACGAGACCCATTCTGAGATTTCTGTTGTGAAATATATGCAGGTAATTGTGACATTAATTGTGTTAGTCACACAGGTCATGGTAAAGATGGTGCCGTCACGTGTAAAATTAATTTCTGTTGCAATCATTTTTAAAGTGACAATCTCTTATTTGGGTGGAAACTGCATAAAAATGTGTTTCTTAAACTGGTTGGGACATTCCTGACAGCCCCAACCAGCAGTGTGTATAGTGAGCAAAATTTGAGCCAAAGAGAAACTGGTTGCTTCAGATTAATGCAGATCAGCCACTATTTTTTATTATCACTACCTCAAACTTCTTTACTTTAAATACTGAACAAGGATATACAAGTGAGAAATCATAATGAAAGTGAACATTGTAATGTGCCTTCAGTAAGCTTAATGTGATATGAGTGTACTTTTACAAGAATACAAAACCAAAATACCTAGATCTACTAAGCAGGTTTTATGACAATTGATTGTTAAATAAAAGTGATGTGTTAAATACAAAAAAGCATAAATATTATTTTCCATAAGAAAACTAGGGTTGGTGATGACTAATTATTTAATAAATGACTGAATACAATTAAAACTTATAAATATTGAGGAAGTTGCTTAGAAAACTATATTTTTGTACTTTACTAAATTTTCTCAATTCATTAAAATATGATTTGATTGACATAGGGAAAACAAAATCATATGCTTTTGAAAGTGTCAAAATTAAATGGGTTAATTGATATAAACACAACATATGTTATTGAATGGAGTTTAGCAGTATTTGCTAAAATAAATAAAGCTTGTTAATGTTAGTACTATTGTACATTAATTTACTTTTTGTGTTTTAGTTTTTTTGTTATTAATAATGATAAAATAATGGTAGATTTTATGTTATATATTCTTTGGTAAGTTATAAAAATTTCACCCACTTGGCTACCAAATACTGAATAGGTATTATCTGACCATGCCAAATATCTGGCAAAATGATGGAATAATATGTATACCAGATACTGACCTAATATATTTTTCAATTCGGAACAAACAGCTTAATACTTGTAGAAATCACATATTTTAAATTCTTCATTTTAAAGTTAAAATTATTATTTTCTGGTTAGCATATATGTGGTTTATAAAATGAAATTTTTCAAAGAATGTGTGTTTGAAAATAAAACTTTTTTTTTTTACTAAAATTTATATTAAGCATTAAAAATTGATTTATAAGTGTTCTCCCATACAACAATTTTTCACACACAATGTTTGATGAATGTGGTCTTGTTAAATTTTACATTAAACTTGGATTGTGATTAACTGAAGATTTGGAAATTGAGTGATTCCTTGTATGATAAAGTATTTATGGCACTTCAGAAAAACAAAAATAAATATAGTTTCTTTTCAGGCTCTCTCAGCATTGTTAGCAGATGATAATAAGTTTGGATTTATTGTTATGGATGGTAATGGTGCTCTCTTTGGAACTCTTCAAGGAAATACTCGTGATGTCCTGCACAAGTTTACTGTTGACTTACCTAAAAAACATGGTGAGTTACTGAGGATTGTGATTTATGTAAATTTTTTTTTTGTCAATGAAATTTAAATTATGTTGTATCAAGCATTAGAAGAAAGCTTAAATTTGATTAAATGTTTATCTGAATTTTTTTTTTACATACATGTTAACCCTTCCATTATGGGCTGAGTGGAATCCACCCAGCTTGTAACCATAAAAGTATCCATGAGAGTAATTATACTATGATTTTTGATAATATATACATATCTTTACAAAATTTTTCACGATTATTAGTAAACATTACAAGATTTTCGTACACAAAATATCAGGTTTTTAAATTGAGTATTAAGATTTTTTAATTAAAGATGTTTTCGTAAACCTTTATTTTTCAGAGTGTTTACTATCCAACATGCAAAACAATATTGATTTTCAGATTAAAAATACTTTAATGCATTAGAACATTTTCAAATTTCACATACAAAATCTTTATAAGCTCCAGATAACTATAAAAAATTAAGAGAAAAAGCTTTATATCTTATTTGTTATTTTTACTACTGTATTTCAGTACATGTTGTTTCAATTTGACTGACTTCACAACCTCAGTAAAAAAATTAGGAATGAAATATAAATTATGTTTTTTTCCTTCTAGAATGACTACAAATTATAACACGAAAACACAAATGTTTAGTCTTACTAGCTTAAATCTCGTAACATTATACACTGATACATATTTATTATTTTTATTATATTGACCTTCCAGCTGGGCTTGGCTAACAATACAGAAGTTACAATTATGTGGCACACGTGCACTCATGTTACCGACTAAAGGTCAGTTATATATTATTGGATATTTTCAATTATTAGATTTCAATTATTATACATTATATATATGTATATAGATTATTGCTACTTACAAACAAGTTCTTAAACTTATTTTTCCTAAAACATAGAACAGTAAATAAAGAAGTAAAGCAAACAATTATCTCTTCTAGTTACGACCTTCGTATCCAGTTGCTGCTTGACATAGGTTGCTAAGCTTTTAAAAAATAAAGAAGTAATGCAAACAATTATCTCTTCTAGTTACGACCTTCGTATCCAGTTGCTG